TTTATAGCTGAAAGGTGATTAGTATTGGTATCAGAGGTCAGGCAGTGCTAGGATCTTTCAGAGTGCCGGTCAGCCAGAATGGAAAGACTTTCCTGGCTAGTTTGGACATTAAGATGAAATACCAAAAATTCATGCCTTAGGAGTAAGAACCATGTTCAGGAGTGAGGGCCACATCCTAGAGTAAGAGGTATGACATCAGGTTAAGTTAAAAAGTCAAATAGACTCACCCTACCAAAAAATCAAATCAAGACCAACTAGATAAAATGAACCTACCAAAAATATAACTGCCTGCCCAAAACAAAACAAACAAACTCAAAACCCATTAAAGGAAGATGACATATTAAAGATTTCCTGTAACAGATAATATATATGTCTGACCTGCAATACAAAAATAATAGGTATGTGAAGAAGCCAGAAAATGTAATATGTAGTCAAGAGAAAAAGCGTTCAACAGAAATACAGAGGTAAGCCAGATGTTACAAACAACAGAGAAGTCATTAACGTTAGGCTCAAAAATTTAAAAAGTAAATAAATAAAATAAAATAAAATAAAAGAACAGATGAGGAATCATGGCAAAGAAATTAAAATTATATTTTAACACTAACTGGAAATACTAGAAATGAAAATGACAACATCTAAAATGAATAATTCTTAGTAGATTAGCATCAGATGAGAGATTGCAGAGAAATGATCTTTGAATTTGAATTCAAATAAATAGTAATAATCAAATTTTGAAAACAGAGAGAAAGAATATAGAAAAAAAAGAACAAAAACTTTAGTAACCTGTAGACGATTATTAAGCAGTCTAACATACACATTTGAAGAAATAATGATCAAAACTTCTGAATTTGATGCAATTGTATACTTAGATTTAGGAAGCTCAAGGAACTCCAAAAAACAATCGTACAGACAAAATCATATATAGGATTATTATAACCAATCTTCTGGAAACCAAATATATTTTCTCTAAAAGTATATAACACAAAATTTCTAACAATATGCTGGTTTATAACATGTGTAGATGTAAAGTACATGGCAATAATAGTATAAAGAATGGAAATGAAATGGAACTATATATTATTGGAAAGTTCTTACATTTAAAGTGAAGCAGGCCAATATTAACAGACAATGCCTATGATATGTTGTGAACACATACTGTAATTACTAAAGCCGTCAGTTAAAAATGCATATAATCACATTTTTAAAAATGTATAAATGCATAGGTGACTCAGTTTAAAATGCATAACACTTGCTCTTTAAATGACACTGTTAAGAAAATGAAAAGACAAACCATAGGCTGGGGGAAATTTTGCAAAATGAATATCCAAAAAAGCACCTGTATCCAGAATATCTAAAGATCTCTTACAATTGATCAAAACAATAAACCAAGTTTAAAAAGTGGGGAAAAGATCTGAATAGGGACTACACCAAAAAAAAGTTGGTGACAAATAAGCACATGAAAATCTGTTCAACTTCAGTTGTCATTAGGGAAATGTAAATCAATCATAATGGGATAATCATATACATCCAATAACATGGCTAAAATAAAAAAATATTGACCATACCCAGTGCTGTCAAGGATGTGGAACAACTAGAATTCTCATACACTGTAGATGGGAATGGAAAATGCTATAGCCAGGTTGGTAAAGAGTTTGCCATGTTCTTATAAAATTAAACATGCACTTATGATGGAACCCAACACTTCCACTCCTAAGTACCATCCAAGAGAAGTAAAAACATTTGTTCAAATGAAGATTTATAAATTAATACTAACAGCAGATGTATTTATAATAGTCAAAATCTGGAAACAACCATCAACAGATGAATGATTAAACAAATTGTGGTATATCCATATAAGGGAATGCAACTCCACAATAAAAGAAATAAATTACTGAACACGCGATAAAAGCATTATGATAAGTGAGAGAAACCATCTGTATCTAAGAAAACAAAAAACATGCTGAATGGGTTGCATTTATATAAAATTCTAGAAAGGGGAAAACTATAGTGACAGAAAGCACATCCATGGTTTCCAGAGGCCAGGGAAGATGGAGGAGAGAACTGACTGTAAAAGGGTATGAGGGAACTTTTGTGTATGATAGAAGAGTCCTATATCATGATTGTGATGATGGCATATGACTATATACATTTCAAAAGTCATCAAATTGTATACTTAAAATTGTGAATTTTACTGTGCATAAATTATACTTCAATAAATCTAATCCCTGTCAAACACACACACACACACACACACACACACACACACACACACACAGACACAATAAGTGAAAAAAAGGAAAAAGAAAAAACTAAGCTCCATTCCTTCTAAGGGTGCCTTCGCTGACAGAAAAGACCCAGCTCTGCAGCAGGCCCAGCAAGCCAGGGCGTGTTTGAAAAGGCCGCGGATGTGGCCAACAGAAAGAGGTTAAAATTACATTATTCATTGTGTGAGTGTTAACAACAAAATAAAGTTCAATTGTAATTTTTATGAAAATCTAACCAATTATATAAAAATAACTGGTATATATCAAAACAATTAAGATTAAGAAAGGCAAGGAAAAACAAGGTAACTCCTTCAGAATAAAGGTGATTACAGAGACAAGAAAACTAAAAATGTATGATTCTGGATTGACTCCTAAATTAGAAAAAAATAAAAGCTCTAAATGACACTATTGTGACAGTTGGCTAAATTTGAATTTGGACTACAGATTAGATAGTAGTATTGTATCAGTGTTACATTTTCTGATTTTGATAATTGTAATGTGATTACGTTGGTGAATTTTCTTTTCCTTAGGAAATAAAGATTGAAGATTTTAGTAACAATGGGGCAATGTTGTCTTCAATTTACCTTCAAAGGTTTCAGGAAAAACAACAAAACAGAATGATCATGGAGATGAGACAAAATGTAAACAATTAGTAAATCTGGATAAAGTGTTTATAGGACTTCTTGGACTATTCTGGCAATTTTTTTTCTTTGAAATAACATTAAAATAAAATTTTATTAAAATGTATAGGGGAAGGGAGCTGGAGCCCCAAATGAATTATATACCTTTTGCAGTAGTTCATGGAAGGGATAATTAGAGCTAGATTTAATACAACGGTGGTTGAATAGCTATTTTATATCATTTCTATGTTTAAAGTAGAATGGTAAATTAAATTTGCTTTTACTTTTGTTCAGGAATAAGCAGAGTAATCATGCATCCTAGTATGGCCTTTTAAAAATTATTGCCTACCTTCTATCCTAAGATTCTAAATTTCTTTAAACTTGCTACAAAAAAGTTATAATCCATATATTTTTTATAATATATATATATATATATGTACACAGAAGAAATAGAGCAAAAGGAACTCTAAAAATGGAAATTTAGTGTTGATAAACAGAGGTGGAAGAAATATATTTTTAAAAGATCGTAGCACTAACTCATTCAGAACCCATTTGTGTGGTTGTGCCATGCTAAATCTTAGGAAAATACACTAATATAGAAAAAAGTCTCCCAGGCGGTCTGATTCGGAATTCATGGTTGCACGTGCCGCCTTGACTATCCATCACCCGCTTTCTTCCTATTCCCTGGAGCTCCTCTGCTTTCACCTCCCGCCGCTCAGCAGAAAAGCCAGCATCAAACACTGTTTCCTGTACCCTAAACTCAGCCAACATTCAGTTTTGCAGAATGATTAGTAGGTATTAAAGTCCTCCTGGGAGGAATCAGAAAATTTGACTAGGCATTGACTGGGCATGAAAAAGGATGAGCAGTAAAGCATTTGCACTACGAATCACAGGGATATGTGACTGAATCCTGAGAAAATATGGCTCTCTTCCCTTATGGTGATAAACTCTCTCAAAGTTAGGAAACGGATGTAGTGCACAGTGATCCTGACATGAGCAAATAGCTGCCCTCCCACCGGCACACACAAAACTGAAATATTGGGCTGTCGGAAAAGTCATGACGTATTTTTTCTATGTTTTTCATTGCAAAAATGCATCATGACTTTCCAGACAACCCAACAGAATCTGCCACAAATTCACATGAAATTGAGGAAACTAACCCAAAATATGCAATATAACAAGGAGTGTCTGGGAGTATGAGCCAACAACTGTACTTGATTCCAATCATTATTCTCACATTAACTATATTCCTAACTTTAAACTTAAGTTTTCTTTTCTGTAAAATAAGCCCTAATAAGCACCTCACTAGGTTATTTTAATGGTGAAAGAAGTAATGTATGCAAAAGCTGGCGTGATATTTAGCTCAGTATAAATACATAGCAAGTAGAAACTTATGATTAGAGAATCAACAATTTACACATTATTTCATTTATATATTACATAAATTTATATTTATGACAATCTCAAACATCTATCTCAACACTAAGTACCCCACTTTTTCCAATCCACTTTTCTATTTACTTTCTGAACAGGTACTGAGATTAAGTTGTAACACGGGACTGATATAAGGAGACAAACCACTGAAGCAAAAGTAGAGACATGAAAGAAGAAAACTAAAGGGAATATCTCTAGATATTTCTTACTAAGAAAAATATTCAGATAAAGAATGCAGCTTTAGTGCGCTTCTTGCATGAATTCCTCAAATGCAAACTCATCCTGTTCTGCACAGAGATAGCATGGTCTCCCGGTAGGAAGGTCTGGTGAGGGAACCAGGATGCCAATACTTACATCCTCGCTAACCACTGGCTGACCATGTAACCTTGGAGATAAGAATAGTATCCACTTACAGGGTCTTGTGAGAATTAAATGAGTTAAACATAGAAAGCATTAGAAAGCGTATGTGTCTGGCAAATAGATAGCTGCCCAATAAAGTGAAAGAAGCCATCCAGTAATGGAATGTTCTGGTTGCTATGAATGTTTTCCATGATTACTAATTTGCAAAAAACCAAACAAACAAACAAACCCCAAACCAAAAAAAAACAACCAAACAAAAAACCTTAAAAACACACATCACCCTTGGTTCTAATACAGTATTTATGGGGAAAAAATACTGTACCTTGTAAACTGCCAAGTGTAAGGCTGTAAATCCATTTCTTGTCAGTCGAGAGGGGCGGAGCCCTTTTAACATAAGGGTTCTAATATGAGACTTGTTGCCTTAAAGAGAAAAGTGGAAAAAAAAAGTTTACATTGTTGAGGGGGTAGACTAAGTGACTTTAAAATCTCTCTTTGACTTTATGATAAACGCTACACTGATGTTTGAAAATGTCAGACTGCTGTTCTGCAGGCCACTTGTAAAGCTATCAGTTGACAGCCTTACTTAGTAATGAATGCTTCTATTACACTTACAAAACTTTGTGTCCAAGCTGTGTATTTTAATGAATTTGTATGACATTTTTTATTTAGTGCTGTCATCACCAGATGGTTTTAAAACAAAAGCATGAAAAAGTTCATCTTAATATACTATTAGGGAAAAAGCTTAGAAAAAAAACCTAGTTGCACAGGAGAACATCATTAGCAGTAGATCTTATTTAGATCAGAGAAAACTGGAGGACATGACTACAGCTGGGAAGGCAGGTTTAAATTTGGGAGGAAGATCTTTTAAGTAGAGTCTGATTAATTTGTTTGGCAGGCATGGTTAAGGAATATGGGAGAGTCCAAACGTATACATTAGTGTCCTATTTAAAAAACTGAGTTCAAGGAATACTTGTTTGGATTGAAAAAAATAAATATTAACTATTAATTCATTAATTAAATAAATGTATTAAATATCTACTCTATGCCAGGCGCCATCCTAGGTGTTTGGGAGATATTAATGAAAAAAACAGAACAAACTATGAGCCAAATTAAACTCTTCACTCTCCATTTGATCAATCTTTACTTTGATATTTTATCATTGCATTTATTACTTTCCACATATCTTAATGCAGATTGTGAAGCAATTGCTTGGTGATATTTTGGGGAATGCTTTAAGTGCTTCCTAATTTAACCTAATCCCTCACTAGCACGTCCAATACTGAAAAATGCTTTTTGGATCTCCAAGCAAACTAAGTGATTTGATCAGAGTAGGAGCATGATGAAACAAATTCAGAGCTAAATCAATTGAAATATCTGCCTGTTAATTACTGCTTCAACTGAAGGTTACGAGCACTGCAGAGGCAAAACAAAAGAGAAAATTGAGTATAAACAGAATTCTCTTGTAGGCTATTATGCAGCTCAAATGTCTGACCATATATACATATAACTATAATAGTACATAAAGTATTGAGTTTCAAGTACTCACCTCCACAAATGCAACATAAATGAAGCAGGGATAGCCCATTTTCTGTGCGGTAATTTAAATTGACTTTATTGAAGGCATCATCAGAACTGAAAAATATATTTTACAGATGATTACAAATTTCATCTTTTAGTTTATTTTTCATTTGAAAAATTATGAAAGGGAATCGTGTTCATATAAATTCAGAAATGTATCTTTTTAAGGATTATTTTATACCTAGAAAATGAATTTAAATATATATCGCTATACAAAGAATAATTAAAACGAAAGAAAATAATTTTGAAAATTTGAGAGACCAGTTAAAGACTCATGCACAGTTCTATGTTCCATGTATAATTTGCATTTTTCAGCATACCTTGATGAATTAAAATTTATGTACGAGTATATATCGAAAACATTTGAGAGAGAACTCATTTCTTTCACACTCAAAATTTCACACCATACTTATGGAAAATTTCAAGAAATGCCATCCAGGAAGAAAAAAAAAAGTTGCATTTTGTAAGAGACTGGAGAAAAGAATACTATCCCAATGTATTACAAATTTTGCCCGAAGCAAAGTTGCTTTGTACTCTGACTGGGTCAGATTTCACTGATAAAGGGGTCTAAATTCTGATAGTATACACTGTGATACACTCTCAGAATTTAGAGAGTAGGAATAGTGGTAGTGATTCAATTAATGAAACCCTTGCCTTTGTTTGAACAAAGACCATTGGCCCAGAAGGGCCCTGGAGAGCCATAGGTAGCCTTTGAAAGGAATGTAAAGCTAAAATTATTGACCTCTTGAGGTCATTGGTACTCCCAGGATATTTTTCAGTAGAAATGAGATCATATCCTTGGCCTCCCAGGTCAATTTCAAGCTGCCTCCTGCCTATTTAAATCTCCAGCAGCTTTAGTGAGATAGCATAATCTTTGGCAAGTGAGCCTTCCATATCATTTGTAAAGTACTTACACTTGAAAGGTGCTATAAATTCAGAATATTATCATCAAGGCACACAGTTAGGAACTTCAAAAGCTATTGGAATTTTAAAATAGAAAAAGAAAAGGTGTTATTCTCCCGGGTGCTGCTAAAAAAAGAGACTTTCTCAATCTAGGGACATTGAAGGATCCCAGTGAAATGCTTCAATTAGCAATGGCAAGCCCAGTGGCTTTTTTTGTAGGCATGGGAATATTCTAGAACTTTCCCACCCTCCTGACTTTCTTGCTGTCTGTGTTCGACTTCCCAGCAGCACAATCCACAGACACACTTACTCATATTGAGAAATACATCTCACCATGCTTTGGAATGCCATTTATAGAAGTAAAATCCAATGAGTCATTTTTACAAATGTTGGTAATATAGCAAGGGGCCCACGATTTCATGAAAAATAGTAAACAATTGAATTCATTTCTGTCTGCACTTTCCCCCAGCTCAATGAGGGATGGAAAAAAACCAAAAACAAAAACAAACAAACAAACATGAGAACACCACTGTTTTAAATGTCTACCTAAAATAAGTCTAACTGTAAATGGTATAGCTATTTTATGAAGTGCAGTATCTTCACAAAATAACATGATTCTTGGAAATGTGTGGCCTTTTCCTGAGCCAGGCCCCTAAACTCTCAAAGCTAATTGTATTATAGATTTCTTGGAGGAATTAAACTAAGTAGGTAGTGCTAAACACTGTGCACTCAGCGGCCCACTCTTGGATATGCATTCAGAGAGGTCTCTCTGTGGTATGACTTCAAATAGCACAGGTTTCCTAAAGGGCCAAACTCTGCTTTCAAAGCCGGGTGGATTGGACTTTTCTCTTAAAGTTTATCAGTAAAGGACATCAGTATCCTTAAATAAAAAGGGAAAGAAAGTTGTGACGTGCGATTGGGGATCTTGACTGGCAATGATTCAGAAGCTCTGAGCTGCTTTCTTGGGCTTTTCTTCCTTGGTTTTTCCATCATCCAGCAAATGAAACACACAATAGATCACAAGACAGAAAACTAAGTACTGGGGGTGGGTGAAGAAAGGGAGCCTTTTGCTAAATGTAAAAACTATATAAACTTCAGCCTAAGAGAAAAACAGGGGAGAAAGTACTTTCTTTTGTGCTAACTATAATGAACTTAATATGAAAAAGAAAAAAAGCTTTGGAGCGCCTCTGTAACAATAAATCCTTGGGAACATTAGTTTTTCAATGTGTACCTCCAATATTATATAGCAATACTTGCTATGTTTAAATGTTTCAAAAGTGGAAAAAAATCATATCAGCAGTTAAAAGCTTGATCCTTATATTTACACCAGAATTAAAATCCTACTCCATTTCTCCCTTATAAGTAGTTTTGTTTTGTTTTTTCAACACAATTTGGGCAAGTTATTTAACCTCTTCAAGCCTTCAGTTATAAAATTATTAAAATAACACATATGACATTGTGTTGTGAAGAATAAATGAGATTGAGTGCTTCCTACAGTACCTGGACCACAATGCTATCAATAACTAATTATTATATTCTATTACTATTATTATCAAGTTCACTGTGTATGTCCAACTTTCCTTTTGCAGTCTAACATTTGGGAGAATTTTAGCACAATTTTCAAACCAAATTTGACCTTCTTTGACCTCTCCCATATGACATGTAAAACCTCCTGATTTTTACAATCATTTTATAAATGTAGGTATTTTATGCTCACAGTGACTCTGAGTCAGGCTGCTATAGAGAATGCCTGAGTTTGTTTTCATATGATTGTAAAAATGGCCAAGTTCACTGTTGTGACACCCAGCAACTGCTAGAATCACAGCTTTGTAATACAAGTCCAGTGGCACCATTATAATAGGGAAACTACATTCAGCACTTGAGATATTAAAAGAACAACAAATCCAAATGGGAAAAAAAAGAGGTTGTGCTGAAAATCATTTTATTGAGAAGGTAGATTCAATTGTTTTCTTAATCCATGATCTAACTTGGTAATGCATTCAACCAGCCTGGCACAATACCTACTGACCACCAACTGTATGCCCCACCTATGTTCTTAATACTCACCTCAGATTGCGTTCAACAGTGTACTTGATATTCTACTTGATACAAACTACTCTCTAATTCCTGGGTCCTTTAAGTGTATCTGTCTTGGGAATATACAAGCTAAATAGAATCCTACAACAGACCTTAGCATTTGTCCTGATCTCCACTGTCCCAATCAGCTTTGCAAAGAAAGTAAACACTGAATAAACAGAAAATGGATGTCTGTTTAGATAAAATTGAAAGCATGAATTAGATCCATGACTTTTTCCCCAAAAACCATTCCTTAGCTCACTGAATCATAAACTAGACTTGACCATTCTTAAGTGACTCAGTGTACAGCTCTAAAGAGTTCCTTGCTCAAAACTGAGCTGCTGGTTTCTTTTGGTCTTTTGAATTCTATCCTCCTTGAACGCATGAAACTTCTAGTAATGCCACCAAAACAGAGAATAGACTCCCACAATATCTGGCAGTCAAGTGCAGTTTTAAAAGTACAATTTTTATCTTAACTTTAAATAACAGGAATGTAATTTTTAAAATGAGAGTGACTTTGGGGTTATATTTGAATCCTGATTCTCACTTTCCATTAACTTCTAGTCAAATGTTTCTGTTTTGATACATGCAATTAAAGTATTCAAGATTTCAAAGGAATCATTACTAGGAGGTGTATTTCATTTTCTCTTCTTTTGCCTCTTCTAAAGGAGCTGTGTATGTCAAATTCACTGCCAACTTAGCATCACTTATGTATTCTAATACACTACGCTCAATTTATTTTTTAATTTCCCCTTACATTTTTCATCACCATGCCATGCTGTAACTTAACATATCCTAATGAGTTCATTGTGCTTGCTGGGGCATGAATGAAGTTCCTAATTAAAATGAAGTCACTATTATGAATACATTTCTAACAGCAACTTCTGTCCTTAATCATTAAAAATGGTACTTCTGTACCCAAAGGTTACTTTCTTTTTTGTTGCATAATGGACTCTTTTCTTAGCCTTTACCTTTTATTCAGAGGGTATGCAGGTTTGTGATCCAATTAAACTTCTTTCTCATGACCTCATCCTTTCAAGACAATATCTGACATGACCACAAGTGGAAACTTATTAAACGTAACATTTGAACAGTTGGCCAAAAAATTATAAATAACTGTCCAAAATATTCAGATTGGTAGATATATTTTTTTAAATTAATTAATTGGCTGAAACTTAGGGAAAAGCCAAGAAGGTAGAAAGAAGGTAAGGATTTGTTATGGATCACCTACTTCCTAAGTTGATCATTTAATTTCAAATGGCTGGTTGTAACTTCCTTTGTAGTTCTTTGTGGCTGCTGCTGATTTCTCCCCCCAAACAATAGAAGCAGGAAGATCATCAATAAGATCTGTTCCCATGATATATCACTAGGAAATGTCCAGAAATGTATTTGTCTAATGTTTCCCAGATCGAATATGCAAACTAAGAACATGAAGTTCGTTCATTCATTCATTCATTCATACAATAAAAAAATTATTGTGATACAGTGGCAGATAGAGCAACAATAGCTAAGGATGATAAAATTGGGACAATAAAAATTCTTATCTCATAGATGTTGCTATTGATTACTTTAACATTTTTGTTTTATTGTTTTGCTTTGCATCTGAGAAGGGGAATAGGGAAGGGGAAAGGGAAGAGGGAGGCAGTATGGGATAGGATAAAAGGATAGAGGGGGGATTATAGTAGGAGAAATAGTGACGGTGAGGTAGCAAGCTAGAGAGAGAGAGAGAGAGAGAGAGAGAGAGAGAGAGAGAGAGAGAGAGAGAGAGAGAGAGAGACAGGGAGATTGAGATCAAGCTCCTTTATAAGGTTTTTAAAAGCTATTCCTGTAAAACTTTATTCAGAACTAGTTTTACCTAGACAAAAAAGAAAAGAAGTAGTAGAGATGTAGACAGCCTTTGAACAATGTGATTTCTCTGCTTTTTGGTTTGAGGTCTTTTTGTTGTTGTTGCTGTTTGTTTTTTGCTTATTTGAGAATTAGCACAACATACTAACCAAACATGCCAAATAATATTTTTGCTCTATTTTAATTTTAAAAGATGACATTTGCCCCTCAATATTCTACTTAGCACCTTG